ATGTGCCTTAACTGTGCTTATGTGTTACGGACCTGAAAAACATCAGATGAATAATTTTCGATCCATTTTTTATATGGATGAATGCCTGCAACAGGGTCAAGAAACGCCTGCAACTCCTTTCCCAAGAAGGCATAAAGCCTCATACAAGGTGTCAGAGCACCAAGAGTATACGCTGCCAATTTTGTTTTTTCAAATGGAGTATCTAGTTTACCCAGAGCTTTTACTCCTTCAACCTTTCCTGATGCTGTCGCCAGTAAAAAATCTGTATACTTAACGGTTGCAGCATTTGGAGTATTCTCTTTAGGAAACTCAAAACCCCACTCCTGCATATTTCAATATGTTAAATTTACGCAATGGAAAACTTACATCCACAACAACAACAACAACAACAACATAGCCTTTTAGTCCCAAGCAAGTCGGGGTAGGCTAGAGACAAAACCCAAGAGAAACACAAAAAGACTTACATCCACCTCAGAAGCAAAAATGCAGAATCTCTACTGTAAATGAAGGAAACTCGCAGATAAAATATTACCGCTTAACATGGACATAATCAAGATAAAAATTGGAACAGCACAACACCAACACATGCAAGCATAAAATGAAACCATAGCCCATAATTATAAAATAAACCAGAGTTTTCTCTAGCAAGTTTATGCTGTTGAATTGCGGAGAATCTGGTGTGGTACTACCGCCTAATTATATAGCATACTGACAACACCAGCTTCATCCAATTTGTTCTCTGTCTTCTTGTCTATTTCTTTGTTCAAAGACAAAAGATAGAGCTCATCAGATTAAGATGCGAAGAAGATTTCAAAGGATGACCACGAGCCTATAAAATGCATTCACTTTCATCAGGTTTAATCCAAGCTACAGCATGGAGAGAATTCTACAGGTTCGAGAAACTTTTTCTTTCAAAACCATCCACTCTTTGATCTATAATAACAGTTCACAAGTTAGTGAAATTGACTAAGAGCTAATTCAATTGTTTAGTGATTTTCTACTATTATCACCAAAACATAATAAACAAGAGGCAACGCTAACACTGACCGCCGCAGAAAAGGGCGGGTGTTGGGCTTTTACTGCGCTCCATGACTGCCTTTAGGGGCAACTGGACTAGAATAAAGGAGGGCCGATAGTTATTCTTTTAGCAATTCTAATTTACTGAAACTAATCGAAGAGTACACTCAATAAATGACAGCAGCATAGTTCAATTAATAAAATAATAACATTTCAAACAAAGCAAAGTATACTTTGAAGAGACAGGATGCATGTGTCTGCAATATTATTGGCACTTACTTGCACAAATGAATCGTGCATTTTCAGCTCTTCAAGAACACTTTTCCTCAGTTCATAAATTCCAACTTTTGCATCATCGTCATCAGCAAACTCCTCAGCCATTTCATACCTGATGTACAGTTTTTCCACAAAGATAAAGACTCGTTCCACTTATTAATGGAAAAGGTGAAGTTGCAAAGAAGCCAACCTAGGCTTGCATATATTAGAACAACATCCAGCAATAAAGTACAGTCAATAACTTGATAAGTGGTAACTTCTCTCACTAATTAGCCTTTCCTCAAGCATTTAAAGAATGAGAGGGCCCTAAATATTTCTCAATTTGCAGGATTTGAAGATGCAATGTACTTCCCCAACTTGAATTAGTGCGAAAAATGAACTAGCTGACAAGGAATATAAAGACTGCAGAAAAGAATTAAAAGAAAAGGAACAAAGCACATTAGGATTAAAACATTATGCGTTTGGCAAGGGAAGATAACATATTGGGACAAAAAAAAATTAAGTGTTTCGGCCGGTAAAATCTGAAGTGACAACCTTTCTGACGCTTGATTTGAGCAACAAAAAAAATCAAAGATCTAAAATATCTTGGAGAAATACATGCAAAACATATACTTTCTTTTGCAAGGAAACAATTAAGATATACTAAGGGATTACACGTGAAATCATTGAAGAAACTGATTGATACACTTACCACTCTCAGGCATGAGCATAACAATTACTCGTGACAAAACAGCGTGCAATATTGTTTGTGCGATACCAACTACATCACTACCTCACTATTACTCAGCGTAATTCAATTATTTCTACAATAACATAACAAAGCGACATGGAAACTTAATAGGGTTTCCATGTTCGCATTAATTCACTAATATCCAAGAAAAAAAAGAAGATAATAAGAAATGAAAACTACGCTAATGACTTATGGCCCACATTTTTCTAAACAGATGAAACAGAAACAGAACCAAAACTAATATCCAAGGTTCTAATCGTAATAACCCAAGAAAATCAAACAGTGAAAAATAAATCAATTAGAAAACAATCGCGAGGATCACTAACGCTTTCGCAAAGGCACGAAGGAAATGTACATCCTGCGCGATATAATGGCGAAATGTGTCGAGTTTGAGATTTCCGGCAGCCAAACAGACCATAAATGGGGTATACAGAGCTTGTGTCCACTCCTTTCTGAACTTGATCCAAAATCTGCTACCTTGGCCATCTTCTATAAGCGGCGCCGGCAACTTTATCGTTGCCGACGATGACATTGGTAATTTGGTAGAACAGCCTGATTTCGAAGCGGATTTGTGAGATCGGAGGCAGGGTATAAACTGGTAAAGAGTAGAAGTTGACGAGGGTTTTGAATATAAATTGAGCGAGGGAGGTGATAGGGTTTTGAGGAAATATAACAGATTTTGCATCAAAACAACCATACGGTTCCTTGTAATGCTGTGAATCTGCCTATCTTCATTGATCGATGGTTTAATGATGGCGGACAAGCAAATAAAGGAGGATGTAAATTGTAATATTAAATATTTTGCAGGAATAATTCTCAATTAAACCATTGTGCAATAGCTAATAGCTATCAAATCATTTTAAGATGTGTGAGTTTTCAATAATATTCCAATTGAACTTGTGTATACATTATGAAACTTAATGAGATTTCAATAATAAAATACATTTACAAAATCTCACACTAAAATCTCAAATATATGATTTCTACGTATTCAATTAAATTAATAGAAGAAATATTAAAAAGAATCAAATTTTTTAAAAAAAAATTAAGATGCATTTTAAAGTTTTAAATGAGCACAGTGGTCTTTGAATCAAAATATTTATATTCCGAAATTAATGAAATCATATTGGTTGTGTCAAACGACCTCGGTTCGGTTGAACGCCTTACTCAAATTTCAATAATAAAATACATATACAAAATCTCACACTAAAATCTCAAATATAAGAATTCTAAGGATTCAATTAAATTAATTAAAGATAGTAAAAAGACTCCAATTTAAAAAATAAAAATAAAAATTAAGATGTCATTTTAAAATTTTTAATGAGTGCATTTTCTTTGAATCAAAATATTTTACGTTCTCAAATTAATGAAATCATATTGGTAGTGTCAAACGACCTCAATTCAATTGAACGTCTTTCGATCCACTATCGATTGATTCAAAGACATGCAAAACAACGTCGGGAGTTGTCCGAACGTAGAAGCTCCGACTCTCAAGTAAATGTTCCAGGAAGGTGATATATACAAAGTATGTAAGTATAAAAATGTTTAGAGTTTGTAGAATGTAATAATCACACGTCACCTTTTTAATAAACGTGTTACCTTATTATTCAAGACTGCTCGACTAGACAACCTGAGTATCCCAACTACCCATTCGTATTGCCCAAATACCCAAAATACCCCAATTCCATTAGCCCACATTATCTTATCCATGTGTCACTCTTACATTAATTATATTTCTTCTCACCAGTCATTACAAACAACCCACACGCACCACCACATTCACAATCTATTTTGTCTAAATTTCAAATTATTATGCCAATTGGCCACCTCCCTCTCGCTCTATCTCTTGGAGAGGGAAAATAAAATTTTGAAACTCTGCACCAATAAGATTGGACTAGTCTCCCAATAAATCAACAATCCAATACTCGAATCAAAAGAACTTCTACTATATCCCAACATAAAAAAGTACCAAATCAGACACAACAAAAAACAAGCACAATGTGTTAATAACATTTCATGAAGCAATGTTTGGACAAGATGTCATCACCGTACAGTCTACTATTTCTCGGCCTAATTACTAGAAGTGGCTTTCTTTTTTGGCGAAAACTATTTTAGAACGACATGTGATCATGAGGGTCCAATCTTGGCAACTTTCCTAAGCTCGATTTGACCCGTTGAAGGACACTGCATCTCTGTCCAACTTATAGGAATCATTGTTGTTCCTAAAAAAAAAACATTAAAGCAGTTTTAACTTCATTGAGGTTGTAAAAGAATAAAAAGTGCCAAATACATAGTCCCGTGAACGGAAGTTGAGCAATCGAAACTAAATGAAAAACCAATTATAATCACGTAACTCACAAAGAATAAATCAAGCAGTTCAACTCGAGTTATTAAAAAAAAATAGAAGTAGCCCCTTGAGGTTTATTTGTTATAAAAATTAAACAAGTGTAACTTGGCAAATAGAAAAGAGTATATAATACTAGATCCTTGAGGTTTATTTGTATGTTATAGGATGTTAGATGGCTCATGGAGAGCTACATGAAATAAAATTCCACATCTGAAAGGGGATCAATTCATTGACACACAAGCTTTGCTAGTGACTTGTTAGCTTAGTGGTAGAGCTTTCATAGTACTCAGGCACGTGTCCAGAGGTTGACGTAATTAGACCAAATATCAATGATTTTTAATCATCCCTGAATACAACTTTAGTCTAGATATATGCTTCAGTTGGGTCAAGATTGGAAAACTTCATCACAAATTATCAACTCATGATGATTTCACATTTCTATCACTATCTGTTCCATTAAAATCAATGCAGGCAGAATAATATTAGGTTTTCTTTTCATTTACTCCCCTTCATAAGCAAAAAATAATTCAAAATCCCCATGCCACATTTGCAAAGAATATTACACTTAGCCCCTTAATTTTAACACTTAACTACAGGTTACTTTCAGTAGTTTAAAAGGTTAATCGGTTCTTTTTTGTAATTAGGTTAAATCTCTAGGGTACTACTATCACCACTTATAAGTAGAGACATCATTTAAAATCTTCCTGGAATATTTCTACATTGCCAGTATCTTTTGAGAAACACGCCTTCAGTTTCCCAACATATAACCACGTCAACATGAAAGAAGTTCTTTGCACAATTATGTGACTCATATTACAAAAGAGAAAAGAACTCAAGTGATATATCAATTAAGGAACACATGTAACCAGACAAGATATACTCGAGGGGCTTTGAGGTAAAAAATTGGAAATTTAGTGTTGGTGAGTGACCAAGAAAACTCTTGATGAAACCTTTATTCTGATACCTCAAATGAAAGCATCTTTCAAGAAAGCAGACTTTTCTTTTAAATAATTTAGAAGTTAATCAAACTACAGCAGAAGAGTGCAACTGTACATGTCAGCATGATCATATTACTTGCGAATGATAATGTCATCAGTATAAAAAAATAAAAAATAAATAAATACCTGCCACACTTTCTGCAGAAACAACACCGAGTTCATTTTTGGCAGTTGATAAATAGTAAGCTCGTGCATCACCAAGGGATAGCTTTCAAATAGAAACATTAAGGCAAACAAATTCCAGTGATCAAAAAACTCATCAGGGTTGTGGGGCAAATTCTTCCCATTTGATTGGGAAGCTCAAGCTACACCAATATAATTTTATCCAACTAAATTTAGCTTTCCAAATTCGAAGATGTTAACCGGTAAAAGGGAAAAACACATGAACAAATTTAAAGTGTTATCCACCAACATAATATTATACTTTAATGGCATAATTGGTAGGAAGGAATGATATGGAAATTGAATGATCATTCACTTACTCATTCCTTATCCCATGATTGGTATATTTTTTGGAAAGGAATGACATTGGAATGGCAAAACCCATCTCCATGGGATTAGTCATTCCATAGAAAATTGAAGGTTTTCTCATTCCCATGTTTGTAGAAATCAATTTTCAAAAAATAAAATTACCAAATAATGATAAAAATATAATATATATTATAAATCATGATTAAAATATATTAAATAAAATTCAAATAAAAAAATTGAATTCAAATAAAGAAATTGAAAACTTACTTTTATTTATTTTTTAATTAGATATATTAAATACTTATATAAAAATAAAACTAAAAAAACATTAATATATAATATAAAAATATATTATTTTTTATATATTAAAAATATATTACTTTTAACTTTTAAGAATATATTACTTTTTATATATAATTTAAAAATATATTATATTTTATATTATTAAAAATATTTTATTTTTTATTTTATTAAAATATATATTTTTTATTTTTATATATTATTAAAAAATCATTTATATATATATATATTATTTTTTTAAAAAAAATTTATTTATTTTTATAATAAAAAATGATAATGTCATTCCATTCAAGTTCTATTCTTTCTGCATACCAAACGTATCAATGACAAAACTTATTTCATTCCATTCCCATAATCATTCCATTCTTCAATTCATTCCAATCCTACGAAATTCCATTCCATTATACCAATCATGCCATAAGTAATGTAGGATACAACTAAAGCTCTGACAATGTCCCCCGGTCGAAAGGAGGCATGCATTTCTACTTTGTCAATTTCCGTTGCTCTAACATCTTGCTGCCTGTCATATATCAAAGCTTTATGATAAGCATCTTTGCACTAATAGCATTCACTAAGTTGCCTAGTGGAGAGTGAAAATTTGCCTCTTTCAGAGATAAAGCTACCCTTATTTGTTAAACCAAACATTTTATGTTCATCTCAATTCTTTCTTCAAGTACTACCATGAAAACTGACAATATCTTGCATACCTGATAATGCCCGTAAATTTTTCTCGTACTGACTTTGGACCTACACATATTATATCAGCTGAAGCCATTTTAGCCATCACTTTTGTTACCTGTCATAATGAAAAGAACAAAACAAAAGCACATCATTTCAAAACCCCCCACAAGACAACTGAATTATCAAACTTGCATGAATATACAGCATCCTACGATAAATTAGGGAATTCGGAACCTGCAAGAAGGAAGGAGTTTAAGATCAACTGGAAGAGAGGACTAGTTGAACTAATCACTCAGTCTCAGTCAATCCAAATTCCATAATAAAAGCAAATAACAATCAAAGGGAATTTCAGCATGCTGTTTCACACTGGTAAAAATCGACTGAACCGCACTTAACACAGCTCACAATTTGTTTAAAAAATATAACAATATGAAGAATCTAAGGCTACATTTGGATTGAGGAATTAAATGAGGGATTTGAAATCTGCAGATTCCAAATTTACAAGTTCAAATCCCCATGCATTTTCGGACGACAATAGAAGTTCGAGGATTTCAAACGACTACTCAATCTATGCATTCCGGGAGTATGACTCTTCACTTAGATTCATCACCACCAATCGAGCTAGACCATGGATTTATAATCCTTTCCACAAATTCATGGAGAAAAAGAAAAATCTTACTCTTGCAAGGACAATGGCAGCAGGTTCTGGAACTGGACCTTGTGCCTTGTGACCACTCACCTCCACCGTGGGTCTCTAATAGCAACATAAAAATATCCCAAAAAACAAAGTTACAATATGAATTCAAATTATACCAAAAAGGGAATTAAGAAGAAAAAAAAAAACATGACTCTTTCCGACCAAAATCAACAAGAAAGTCACCAATTGTTTTCTCTTCGCTTAAAAAAAATTTACCGGGTCGTCTGAGTCCGTGGCAGGACAAGAAATGGATCGGAATCCCGTGAGCGAAGAGTACACGTTGTTATCGTGTGCCGAAACATAAGCACCTTTCCCAGGTTTCAACTCCGAGGATTTTCCCAATACTTCACCTGGTGTCACAAAATTTTCTTCTTCTCTTTCCTTCATTTCTATCTCCTAATCGTGTACAGTAGTTGAATCTGTTGAAGTAAATGGAAGCCCTTTCGTTCAGTTCAGTTGATTGTTTGACGTAGCCGAAAGGGATTTTGCTGGTCTGTGTTTTGGGGTTTTTTTTAGCGTCGACAGGGTTTTTTTGGAGACGATGTTTTTTACGGTTTTGGGCCTATGTGAAAAAAGGTGCTTTTTATGTTTTTTTTTTCTTTAAAAAAAATAATTATGATAAAACTATAAAAATAGAGAGATGATAGAGATAATTTAATTTGGTAAAATTCGGATAATACAATCGTAATTATATAATTAGTTATAATTAATTATATTAGAGACAAATAATCATGGGCATAGTATGACATAAATATTGTAGTGGGTAGTTTAAATGTTTCTCAATTGAATGATTATTTTTAAAACATATCAAAAATAGTCGGAAGAATGTCATAAAAACTTTTGAATATCTTGTAGCGTAGTTTGTGGTCATGGTCATCAGGTAATTATGAATTGTAACACAGGAAAAGTCGTGGGACAAAACTTGAGAATTGTTGAAGTATAAAATTGATCCGCCTAAATGAGTCATCCTCAATAAAGTACTCGTGTGATGCCTTATTAAAAAGGAACGCATAATTACTCCATCGTCTTCTTTCAAATCTTCATCATGTCATAAATATGTCTTGTTAAAATTTTATTAGAAAAAAATAAGTAGAACAAAATTCTAATGAAGAAAAAAAATTACACTATTCATGTGAATATATCGTTTATGTTGTCATATTTAAAATATTGTTAGGAAAATCCAATAGGATAGAACCTCATAAAAGCATTCCATACACACAAATAATTACCATTTCACACCTATTTATAGATGTTTAGACATAAAAAAAAAAAAGTCATAATCATCATTTCACAATTACTTCTAGATTTTTGTAACAAAAAAGACTTTTTGTCATATTAATAAAAAAACGAGGAATTACATTTTGCACAACTAAACAAATACTTTTTGCAATACAATTTAGCTATTTCCTTACCTGTTTGATGGCTGATGCTCATACAAAACACATTTCATTTTTCTCGAAACATTTGACAAAACCTCAAAAACTAATGTGGAATCAATCAGCACTTAAACATGGTTGGAAATAGCCCCAATCCTACACTCTTAACACCTAAATAAAAGAAAAGAACTCAAGAAATCAGCAATTTGGGCTTTTTTGGGTCCAGCCCATATAGTTTATGGACATTTTGGGTTTCTCCCAGGCCCACCGTAGTAAAAATATGTGCCCCACTCCTTGTTGTTGTAGCTCTTGATATCGTAACAATCTGGGTTCTCGGCTAGGGTCGATATCTCTTGGGCCGCAATCAAGTTATTGTCCATATCAACGAGCTCCAAATTTCTGAAGTAGCTTGCGTTAGCAAACCCACTTTCCGCGAACTGGCCCGAGCCCATTTGCGTGGTAGTATGCCTACCGTCGGCCCTTGAGTTTACTACCTCACCGCCCCACTCCACCATGGTGGCCCGGTCCTTTAAGTTTGTGAAAATATCAGTGGGCCAGTAGCCCACTAACGTGCCTTCGCCAAAGCCCATCCACCAATTTCCCAGCTTGGGATCCTATTTTTTTTCATCATTATTATGCAAGTCAAGTTTCACAAGTTCAAGCTCAAATTTGACATCAACAAAAAGTAGCTAGAAACAAATATTTCATTACTTTGAATAAATAGATTAAAAAATAAAAAAAGAATAAAATAAGATTAAACCTTCCATATGAGTATGCTGATGTCGTATTGATTTTCTCCCATAGACGACACAGGAGAGATGGCAGCTCCAATGGCAATTCGACTATTCGTTTGTATAAATCCAGAGCAAAGAAGATTATAACAGCCAGTTTCTTGGTACGTGTCGCTCTTAATAATCACAAAGTAAAGGCCATTTTTCAATAAATCAGATACATAAACATTGAACTTGATGATGATGCATGGAAATTCAATTCTCAATGTACAATTTGCTTTAATTTTTATTAAAGAAAAGAGAAACACCTCAACTCCATAATTAATGTTGATCATTAATGCAGTGGCCTAACAATATACTCCAAGAAAGACCATTTTGACACTGGATATTAAATAATGTACAGATTTCAATGAATGCAAAAGCAGAAGAATGGTAAGGGGAATTGAATGCACTCCCAATTATTGAAATTTTCGCCTTTCCCAATGAATTGCCTTCATTACTCACCCAATTTAATTAGGAATTTTTTCTTCCATTTCACAAAGTAATGGAGATGTGACCTGAAATGTTTTATTTTTTTTTTTTTTTTATTAAAAGTATGACATTTTAATTTTAAAAATATGTACATCTTGTGAAAAAGATTTAGGACAGCTAGAGTAAGTCTCTTGCTCACCATATCATTTTAATTTAAATAAAATTTAAATTCAGTATTTGGGACTATAAATTTCCATGTGGGAACACTATTAACTGTCATGGTTTGTTAATAAACGTTTATGTTCAAACACAGTTAGGTCAAAATATGATCTCGTGATATAACGTTAACTTATAGGAGACCTTTTAATTTTCAATTTTTTTTTTTTTTAATCATTNCTTTCAAAAAAGAAAAAGAAAGGTAATGCATATATATATATATATATATATATTTCACGTGCTTTTGTCCCTCTAAAATTCAAATAGAGAAACTTATAATTGGTTGAAACTTCAACTTTGATTTGATTAAGTGATATTATGGTCTTTTAGGTTATTAATTTTCAATTAAGCGTCACTGTTTTCGTGCATATCTTGCGACCATCACGGAAGAATTTACTTTGCAGCATTGAGGAAAATCTATATAATAGTTGCCACAATGATTTTCAAATGACTTTAGCACAAAGAAATCTCTTAAGTTATGGTAAAATAGAGCTAACTTGGAGATCCAGCTACTTATTAAAAATGTAAGAAATTGAGATACCTAGGCATACTAATATTATACTTATTTGAAGTTGTGTTATGAAGATATATTATTTAATTGTGTTTGACCTACGATAAGGATCATTAATAAAACTTAATTGTCCTCATACCACAAAAATATTTTGGTTGAATGTAAAATGAATGCATTGTATTATTAACTAGCTAGCTAATCAATTACTCAATGAACTTAGTCTTCTTATAATAAGTGCAATAAGCATTTTTTTTTTCTCAAACATTAACTATATTAATAATTGAAAACTTAAAGTGGAATAAGCAATTTGACATCCAAATGTTAGTCAAAAGTGACATCTAATGATCATTGGTAACCAAGAAATAAAAAGGAAAGCAAATATTTGAATATATTCCATAGAAGAAATTGAGCATGGCATATGTGAAAATCAATGAAGGTCTTAAAATAAATAAAGTTTTGTAAATGCAATCATTTTGTAATTCAATAATATTATTAAAAAGGGAGAAATAATTATAAGAGAGATTAACTAACCGTCCAATAGGTAAATAATCTTGGCCTGCTGTCACCATACAACTCCGGACTAACCTGACTAGTACAAGCTTCAGAATTCAACTTCAATATCGTATATATGAACATAAGTTGAAAATTAATTTATAAAAATACATATATAGTGTATATAATTAAAAATAAAATCACATAGACACAAACATAGTAAATTACCTGCCAACCAGCTTCGATGCTATTGAGGTCAGAACCGTCAAAAGAACCGGAGAGAACCCAAATTTGGGAGAGGCTGAATTCATTCACCATATCTATGGATGGGTCCCACACGTTAATTGTCGCTTTTGCCCCGTACAACTCTCCCGATGCTCCTCTCGTGTATGCTATTGCGTGCTTCCATTTTTTCAAAAATTAAATCAACCATTTATTTATTTAAACACAAATATAAATATATAACTCACTTAACTGATCATCATACATGTGTAATTCATTACTAGCTAATTTTATTTTTAATGTTCTTGGGCATGAATTTATAATATGACATATATATGATCGATAATGTTGCCACAATTTGAATGAAATTATTTTGAATGAAATCATGACATAGTAATGCATTCATCTTATAAAAATAATAACACACATTTTCATATGAAACGCTAATTTTAGCCCTATGTTATTTTATCTAAGCTTGAACACAATATTTTAAATACTGTATGTACCGTACTGTAATCATATCGGACGAGCCACCGATATGCAGTTATTCAATCGATTTTACTGTCCATTTTATCGGTTTCAACAAATATTTAGTTATTTTATTATTATAATATAAATAATGTCTAAATCTCTTTAATAAATATTACTCCCTCCATTTTGAAATATAAGGCATTTAAGGTTATTGCACAAATATTAAGGAGATATTAATTAATGAATAAATTGACTAAATTAACCTTATTTACTCTAATCACAGCCACTCCACACTTCTTTAATTTCAACACAATGAGGGTATATTTAGAAAAAAATGCAAAAATTTGTCTTGAATTTTGAGCACGCCTTATATTTCAAAAAAATTGAGAAATCTTTATACGCCTTATATTTCAAAATGGAGGGAGTATGTAATACAATGAAAACATATTAAAATTAAATGTAGAACTTTCAATTTATATCAATAAATTAATAAAAATATATTAAAAAATATATCCTTATAAAAAAGGGTATAGAATCAGTATAAATCGATATTTTGACAAAAACGGTATTTTTGAAGGTGATATGAACCCTCAATTCAATTCAATTTCTAACCTTATTCTTTTTTTTTTCCTTTAAACAAAATTCCAACACCTCAAAGTCAAACCGACAAAAAATGAAATTCTCGTTAAAGTTTCCACACTCGCACACAAACACGTGTCATGTGCATATGGCATTAGGGATATTTTACATACATAGATACATACATACATACACATACATACCTCATGGCCGTTACCACTAACGACGTCAGGAGCATTCCGTTGACGGCTGGCGGCGGTATTCACGGTGGCATACTTTGACTTTTTCTTGCCAAAATCGTAGAGAGATTTAGCCCTCAGGACGTCGTGGACAGTGCTCCGCCGTATTGGTACGGTGCCGTTTGGACAACGCTGTCCGCTTTCGTGCCACGTCTGCAAAACCCCTTTCCTGCTAATATTCCTCATTTTGTCTTTTGAATCATAATAACTGCTGATCCTCACTGGCATTTTTGGTGGATTTCTCTGCGCACCGCACCGCACATATCATATATTGCTCAAAAATAATTATATGGATTTAATTATTTCAAGATTAATTAATTATTTAACGTATTGTTTAGATATGAAGAAAAAAGAGTGGTGGTTGGTAGTTATATCGGGCGAGGTTGCAAATTAATTATTATTATTGCGTAAAATTAGTTTGCTCAAATTTCATGAAAATAATAAAAGACGATTTAATTTAATTTAATTTAATTTGGGGTGAGAAGCAATTAATCTGAACTAACCTGGATCTTATGATTCCTTAGCAGAGGATGATCCAAACCCGGCTGTTTCTTTTTATGCACACAATCTATTATATCTCCATCTGGACTCTAAAACCAAAATAAAAAAAAATAAAATAAAATAAAATAAAAAATTAAAAAAATTAATGTGCATGGTAATTAATTAAGGTACCTGAATGGTAAAGAGAGGAGGCTTATTAATCTTGTTGAGATGCCTTTGAATTCTAGCCATTCTCAAACTGCTCACTGTTTGTGATCTAATTCTGCTGCTATTGTAGTTTTTTGTTGAAAACCCAAAGCAATATTTTTGGGCCACCAAAAATAGGAAAAAAACCAAGAAAAAACCTTTGCCCATAATTACATTCAATTCACAATTTTTCGTTCGTGTGAGAGAAAGATTGAAATTAACACAAACACACACTACAAAACCATTAGTGGGTAAAAGAAAAAGAAAACAAAAACAAAGGACTTAAGTTTGCCTCTTAATAGCCCCAAAAAAGGGCCAAACAGCAAAGCCAACTTGGAAAATGACCTCTATTCAATTCTGAGTTGCATATTTGTTTGCAAAACGTACCAAATAAAAATAAATAAATAATTAGAAGGGAGGTAGGTGCAGTGAAATTAAGGTGAGAGAGAGAGAGAGATGAGCTGCATATATCAAACTCATCATTGCCTCAAAATCCTGCAAATTTCAATGTTGTGTATTTGAAAAATTGACAAATTTAAAAGAAAGAAAAAAGAGTGAGAAGAAGAAGGTATAATCAATTAAAGCAGAGCAGTAAATAAATGAATAATAGAGACCTAACTACTGATCCTTTCTTTATTGCGCTTCGTCTATCTGACTGCCCTCACTCTTCCCCTCCATTAATTCTCTAGCTTCTTCAAAACAACAAAAGCCTTTCCTTTTATTTTTTATTTTTTTATTTTTTTTTTCCTGTTGTATCTTTAGTTGTTAAGCAGAAGAAATGAGTATTAATCATGTGACCGTGTTTTCCTTTAATTATTTTCTATAGTTAATGTTGTGAAGTTAATGCCATCTGCTATCTTTGCTTCCCGTCTCACCNTCTGTTAAAAACGCGTTACGGTGACTAACTGAAATATTTAATTTATTCAATATTAATGAATTTTTACGCCACTTGAAGTAGACGTGGCCATTTTCCGGTTCTACTTTTGGGGCCAACTTTTAAGGTGAACTTGAACCGGCTCGATGATATATACGTGTCGGGACAAAAAAATTGGATTTGAACTTATTTGATATATTATAAGTTAAACTATCAATTAAGTTGAAGAATTTTTTAGGTTGAAAAATGATATTTGAACCTATAATACGTATGTATCAGATTTGAGGTGAGATGGTGGTCGATCTTATTGTATCCAGTCTCCATTGCCCTGTAGATCTCATTTTTTTAGAAATTATAATTTCACCACCGGTCACCAAAGTTTGAGGCCTGCAATGTCGTTTGTGGATAATGTCCATAAGAAGAAAGCATGAGTAGAAGAAAATGACATCGAATTTTTCATAATGCTGATTGTTGTGTCCCTTAACAAATCATATAATAAAATTTTTTTTTGCTCGATGAGTATTTGTGGGTTAGGTATTTCGGTGACAACAATAACATTAACTAGAGAGAAGTGAGAGTTCATACATAATATTATAATATGTGCGGAGTTAGCTGAGCAAGCCACTTTAACGTAGCGACGGATTTAACAAACATGCAACTAAAAATGTGTCGAGAATGTAAAGATAATATTTTAACTATTTTCTTAACATGTCGATTACAAATTCGTCGTATTTATTAGGATCACTAGCAAAAGTATCTCGATTACAAATTCGTTGTATACTAGGTTGACAATGTAGCATTACTCATTTTTATTTTTATGAATGTTTTTACTTGTTTTGTCAATCTAGTTGTAAACTATATAAATAATGTAGCATTTTTATCAAAAATCAAACGTATAAAGAGCGCAACTATAAATAAATAATATTTATCCTCTATCAAAAGATTGCACATATAAATGGTTCCTAATTGTCTATATCTTAACCTTGAATTCATGTCTGCTTTGTGGGGCTGCTTTAATTACATTAATTAATTCACATAAAGACACTTAAGAGATAGTATCTACTATGTACGCTATGGCCTACTATCAACATCAAAATCTAGGCAAATAATTTTAAAGCCAAATTAACTTCGAATTTGTAGTCCAATTAATCTGACAATTATTTTAGTGGGAAAGGAAAATTGGCAAAAACACATTGGAAAGAAAACAAAAATATTTAATAGTTGTGGGAAGACTGATCATAATTGTTTAGATATATATGATACTAAAAAATTATTGTATTCCAGTTAATGTATGAATTTTCTGAGTAAAACAGGAGCCTAAAAATTATGGTATATATATATATATATATATATATTTTTTTTCTTTTCTTTTCTTTTTTACATATTTTTATCCAAAAAATAAATGTAACGGCATAAAAGAAGGAAGGAAATTGAAATATTATTAGAAAACTGCTTGGACTCCCTAAATTAATTAAAAAAACTAGAGCGACTTGATTTTCCCTAAATTAATTAAAAAAACTAGAGCAACTTATTGATTGGATGTTATATATTTAATTATACGTCAATTTATATATCATTTGTGAAATTCTTAAATTGAGTACGTGGGGGGAGGCTTCTATTCTGTTTTCTAGCGAACAAATTCCGTTGTCCGATCATATCCATGTGACCATCTTCATTTTCCAATAATTTAATGACTTCAAATTAATACTTCAGTACTAATGTGTACTAAACAATGTGTTTCATTTTAATATTTTGAACTTTCATTTAAATTTTGGAATCTCGAATATATAAATTCAGGCAAGATATTATTTAATTTTTGGAGTGTCAGCTTCTTCAACTCTCCAAGCCTGGAAGTAAGGGATTTTGACTCAAACAAATTCATGTGCACTATGACTTAGATGTCCGCCTTCATTAATAAACATCTATCAGCAGACATTACTCTTAAAAAATAAACTGTTATATTAAAGAGGATTAATTTCACCTTATTTATCTTCTATGTGATGTATACATGAAAAACGAAAAATGAAAAATAAACGAATGTATACAAATCTTAATTAGAAGCACTATCAGGAATCAATGCAATTTAAAGTGGGGAATTACCCTGAAACTGAATAAGCCTTGTTCAAGTTGTAGGTGTGGGTCCCAACAAACAGAAAGAAACATGAGGAAATTGAGATGACATGAGACCTACCAAGAAAAATTGAAATTGAATATAAGGTTGTCAAAGGTTTGCAAACTTCTCATTTAGCTTTTGTAGGAAAAAAACGTTATAATGAGTACCCAATTAAGGGTACTTTCATGCCACTCCACAATCTTCTTTTCAACTTTATGTATATACCCAATTAAGAAAGTATGCGAAAGTATGCGAATCGAGAGTGTACAATTGTCATAACTCTCCCTATATAGTTTATCATGTCATAGTTTATTATGATGTATGACATAATAAGATTTGATTGTGCAAGACTATGTTTGGTAAACTAGCAAATAGTTGATAGCTTATGGTTAAAATCTAGTTGATATGATAAAATTATTTAGTAAAATTAGTTGATAAGCTAGCTGAAATAAAAATTTCAATCGACTTATTTGGAAAACTACACAATTAAGGGCTTTCAGACCAAGTGAGAGAATGTAAAACTATGTGGATCGAATGAACTCACAATTAATGAACGTACAAAATCTAAAGCCACCTCTCTCCAATTAGTGTACGTTGTATTGTACATCACTTTCATGCTACCTATAGAGACTATCAAGAGAGTTACTAATTTACATCAAGAAAGCCTCGTGTGCTCAAGAATATTATTATGTTGTCATTTGCATCAAACAATTATTTCGTATACACCAAATTATGTATTTAAGATCCATATGCATTCAAAATCCATAATTTACGCTTACATCCCAACCGACAATAGATTACAATGGATGCATTGTTCATCCTGTCAACTAAGAAAACAGCAGTTTAAGTGTTCCACTCAGTTCCACCTTCCAAACTTCCATTTATTCATATTAAAGTGGCCCACACACACGCACACACACACGCGCACTATGCTATTAAATGAACGAACAGCACCACAAAAAACAGTCCAACAATATATTAGACAACAATGCCCAGTAGTTTATTTTATTCTCGTGTATGTACAATATGAACTGGAAGATCAGTATGTGAGTACTACCATTTAGTAAAAAGCGAAAAGGAAAAGTGAGTTAACAGAGAGCTAAAGGAAAACAAAGAGTTAAATGCCTAGATTAAGCAAAGAAGAATTCGAATTAAGCAAATACTTCATATCTATCATTTCCCAAAATTATCATAGTTCAGAAACTGTTTATATAGGAAAAGGAGCTCGCTCTGAGTTGCAGCATGGTGAAATTGGCATTCAACAATTACACTAGCAATTACAAAACAGTATCGAAAATTTGGAACCAAAATTTGAACTGATCAGCAACTGTATATTTTCGCATATATGAGTTGTGTATGGCATCTTTCTTCCAACAACAAAAATTGATAGGGAATACAAGATTTCAACCCCCAAATTCTACTTGTCTTCTCAAGATTCAAAACAAATCACGAACAAGCCAAGTGGTGTTGGCCTATATTAGCCAATCAATCGGCAATTTGATAATCTTCCCGTCTCAACTTCATTCTTCACTGTTGTCACTATCATCACTGTACCAACAAACCAGATTTTCTTCAGAACAATTGTCAAATATACAGTATATGCCACGCCCATTCATTTTTAACAACAGATCCAATATAAACAGTTTGGATGTACAAACAAAAGAAGTCACCCAAATTCTCTGGATTGTTCAGTTTATTTCAAGGGAAAAAAACGATCCTAATAATCTCAAAATTACAGAAACCCAATTGGTATGCATTCCTATTCCAAAAATTTACAAAACCTTAATACAGGTGATCTGTCAAGAAAATGCAAACCTCAAGGGGATGAATTTAACAACATAAAAGGCATTTGTAAAATAGAATGAAAATTGTTTTTTTCTGTAATTAAATCAAATAATGTGTAGTTTCATGATTATACGATAATCAAAATATTAAAGTAAGAAGATCTCATGAACAGGAGAAAGAAAATGTACAAATTAGGTTGTTGGATATTTATGACACAGGTGAAAAGGTTTTGCTCATTGATGGAAAAAAAAGGCATTGTTATGACCATGTCAAAATGAAATGAACAAGATTCATCACCTGTGTTCAGAGAGTTTCGATATTCTTCTAGCATCCAAGCCAGTGATGTACTTTTGGGCAGCTTGAATATTTTCTGCACCTGAAGAAATTTAACAGAAGAACTAGAGTTGGCAACGATCTAAGCAATAAAGAGAACATCGTAAAAAAGTTATGGAGAAACATAAAAGTTAGTCATAGTCGGGATGAATAATTAAACACACTTGACAGGAACCGGAAGCAAGAAAGTATATATACCCCTTGACAACTGAAAGCAGTGCAGAGCACATCTTTCTGCAACTAGCCTAACAGGTTGAGATCCATCCTTTAAGCACTCAGCAAGCGACGGTCCAAATAGTGAAATATGAGCTAAGATCCCCTGCGGATTAGCCTACACAGAATTTTCGATATTAAAATCGAGTAAGATTATTGTTTAGGCAAGATTATTAAACGAATGCAACAGGAATATATAATGAGTCGTTAAGTATATGTACTTTGGCAACTGCCTTCAAAACACTTAATGCTCTTCTTCGGACTTCACTTGAATCATCCTCCAAAGCCGACACCAAATAGTTCAAAGTTCCCACATGTGTCGTGTTATTTGAGGGATCTTCCTGGACTTGATATAGAAGAAGACTTCCCAAAGCACGAACTGATGATTCACGAACTGGGAACTACATGAAAAACAAAAGCACAGGGATTCCAAGACGTGTGTCATAAGAGATGCATTTAAACCTAGTTCACTCAAAAACCAACCCCAAGCCTCTTTCAAAGAAATAATCTATATATGAGTTACTGTAAGAGTATAATAAGGACATTGTATACTGTTTTGGACTTAACAAAGTATATTAGACCATTTGTTTATCTATGCAAAAATGGGAAAGACCATCCATAGGAGCATGAGAGTAACTAAAATCCAATATGGGTACAAGCAATGTATAGGAAACTGTTTTGCACTTATATTACATGGCATCAAAGGTTAGGTACAAACCCTCTCATTTACAAATAATTTTAATGGCTATTGTAACAGTGATGTCTAATGCAAAAGTTGAGATCGAGTGGAGAATGAGGCAGTACAACTGGGTTGTCAAGCTAAAAGAATGAGTAGTCGCTGATAATCACAGGTCAAAGTACAGGAGAAAAAAAATACCTTCTCATCCTTCAATGAACTTTTCAGACAATCAACAATACTTGTAAATAATGGAGAGGTACAAACTATTGGAGCATTATGTCTAAGCATGGATGAAATGCAAAGAGCAGCTCCGTGCCTTGTAGTCCAAGTAGAAGATGTGGCTGAATCAGCGACTCCCATGAGTACTTCAGAAATTTGAGCACATTCCAAATACTGTTGACATAATCATTGTTATAAAAGTGTACAAATTACATAGGACCAATGATAAGTATGGATACATTTATATTTTATTTGAACAAGAGATCAGGGACAATTAAAGGAAGTTGTTAAAAATGTACATGGGTTGACAAGACAATATTAAATTTGAAAAGCTAATCCAAAGCCATAAGTTAGGGTGGAGCAAAGAGACAAAGCATGGATTATATTTTTTGTTCATGGACATGTGGACATTTTTTTACCATCCCTTTGTTGAATTTATACACGTATATATACATATATATAAATATATAATAAATTACGAATATCTGCTCTGATCTTCTATTGTCTAACATAGACCAGTCTCATTATAAAAAATAGCAAATACAATTTCATCAGGAGTAGCTACGTGCAGTAAATTACAGTTTTTCATAACATGGCTTTAGAGAACAAATCAAATAAAATTAGTGGATGAAACTGTCTACTCTATTGACGACAATGTCTAATAAACTTCAAAATCATTGTTTTCATGGAACTAGTTGCCAGACCATAAATTCTTATGTAAGAATCCACTTCAGTATCCGAAAACATTGTAGCTGCTAACCTGCAGTAAGATCCCCAATATGCCAGATGCGGAAATCCGTATTGGCTCATCTTCACTGTATATCAAATCTTTTAGCTGAGTGTGGACACGGGTTATAACAACACTACTTAGACCTTTTCCAGCATTCTTTATCACACCTTTCAGGGCCGTCAATATTGCTTCCCGTACGGCAATATCTGATGCCTGGCAATTAGATAATTAGGTCAGTTTTAAAGCCAGATCAGTGGGTAGTAAAAAATATAAAAGTATGTTTTTCACCTGCAGAGCAGATAAAAGATCGCCAACTAGCGGATCAATTCTAGTACTCAGAACACTAAGCTTCCCAAGAGCAAATGCAGCACTTGAACGAACAGTCCTGCAGAAAAACTAAAGTAAGCACAACAAAGTAGGAGCCTTTTGACATTCAATAGAGCATAGGCATGAAAAAAGATCAAAATAACGACTTAATAATGAGTAAGTTGAAGAACAGCCATATTTCTAGGGCAGATCCAATACCAATATTCTGTATGACCTCAATAACAATTTAGATAATCAACGACAAACAATTTCCCAAGAGCTAACCTGGTATTATCCTGTAGGCACTTGACAAAAGTTGTTTGAAGTTGGGGAAGAAAGGGCTTTAGAGAAATCCCTCCCTTCTGTATCATGATGCTCAAAGTCGAGAGTATAGCACTCTTCACTTGCCAAGGGAACCTGTCCCCTATGATGCGAATCAATGGGCTAGAAACACAACATATAAGATTAGTATCAACCTTCAACTCTAGAAACCTCGATGCACCATTGGAGCCATATTACAATTAGGGAAGTGATGAAATGGATATATGGTTCATTTCATACATAAATATATATAGATATATAATCTTGTATCAATTTAGAATAATTCATTGAGAAAGTGATAATAACAATTATTCATTCGGTCCTTTTTTTTTTCTTTTCTAACTAATATTTGGTAAAAAAAAAAAAGGAGTAGACTTTTATATAATATTGTAGTCCTGAAAATAAATTTGGGAGATAGATATCTCACACACCCTGTAATAGGAATGACAAATTCTTTCAGGGCTTTTTCACTTGTTACTTCAATTAATTCACCAAGACCCAAAGCTGCCTGTTCTCTTAGTTCAGCTGATCCACTTATAAGACCCTGGAAAACATGAATGAGCTTATCAAAATACGCAAAGAGCCTAATACATGAAAGAAGAAAAACATCCGCTTCGACCATACACTATAAATACAGAAATGATTGAAATCATATGATGAGATACTATCACAACTGGCAATGAGAACCTACAAAATCTTAATGACACAACTATAAATACAGAAATGATTGAAATCATATGATGAGATACTATCACAACTGGCAATGAGAACCTACAAAATCTTAATGACACAACTTATACTTGTCTAATTATTAAGTTAAAGGAGAGAAGAAATTCACATCTCATCAATGACCAGCATTGTTCATAAAATAAAAGTAACTGAACATAGTGAAATTGTTAGATATTTGGAGAGGGAGACATTAACAGGAAAGCTGGGCCAGTCGTAACTAGAACAGGAAGAAAATCCCTGAACACTTATGTGTTGAACCAGAGAATGGTGTCAATGTTGATTAAACAGAAAAAAGTTTAAATAACATCAGCACTCCCCACAAGGCATCCACATTCCACAATATCAAACTAAGAGTGTGAATTGTAAAACATGTATTGCATGCATTAATGTTTAAATTTTGAAATGGTGGTTAGTTGCAATTCCAGATGGGAATTTTCTAAACAAGAGATTAGAATTCTTATGCTGTTTATTTCTAGCATTACATACTATGGGGGCAAAATAATAACGATTGATCAAACTTAATCTAAAGACCGAAAAACGTGGACCTTATATTCCGAAGAGATTTCAAAGTACCTGGAGAAAGATAGGCAACACAGGTTGAAGTGCCTTTGGGAGACAGAACCCAGGTATCACAACTGGTCCACCCTGTATCCAGTGAACAATTTCTGACTTCAATAAAAATAATATTAAATTCTTAATTTTCAACAGATGGACTATGAACATATAATTTCCTGATCAGATCAAAGTGTACGCCATCTAAAACAATATGAAAAGGAGCAAATCACTGACACTAACTTTTTTCTTTCTCCGTTCTTTATCTCTAGATGTAGATATTGCATCCCGAACTAGTTTCATATATGAAGGAAGAACCTCTTTAGGCACTGAGCTTACAACCCTCAACAAAGCTTCCCAAGCAACCTGCAGAAGACATTATAAGCACAAACATACATTGAAAATAAAGCAGAACCCAATTTATAAAATTACCTGGACTGTTGCAGGATCTGGGTCACTAAGCAAAATAATCAAGGTAGAGATCATGTTTGGTGCTTCATCAACCAGATACAATTTGCTATTTTGGAAGAGGTACCCAATCAGATACGAGGAACTTCTTCTTATAGGAGCCTGGAGGATAAACGAGCGTTAAACTTAGATAGGTTTTATCGTACTAGTTATGTTACCATTTTGCAGGACCCAGGTGGGTCTGTACAATATCACAAGCTTAAACAGACAAAATTCATGCCTGGTTATCTGCAGTGCCTTTTAGAAGCTCCGAAGTCAAAGACTCAATGCCTTCCTCGTCAATAACCAACACAACTGTTTCTGCTGACTTGTTTGCTAACCTTTGAACATCCTATAATTCGAGGAAAAAAACTAACATAGATAAATAAATGGCANAGAGAGAGAGAGAGCATACCACATCAGCATCACCCATTGCTGCAAGTAAAGGAGGGAGTACTGTACCAAGATGGAAATTAAGACCAGGTCCTGCAACCTCAGCCAGAGCTCCCAAAGCGTGTGCATTGAAAGCACTGTAGCAACCAATATAATGTAGGTTAAAAAAATTGGGATATGTATTTCAAAAGGATAAAGTACTCTTTTACAAATGATTGTACGTACGACATGGGAACATGAACAAGCTTTGGAAGAATATGAGGCAGCACAGCAGTGGTCCTGACACTAAAATAAATCAAGACAAATTAGTACTTAAACAGGGATTTACACAACAGATCACTAGTGTAAGAAGAAACCTATATAACATACCTCAAGATTTGTTTTAGACCATCAAGAGCAGTATCAGAAGTTTGTTCATCTTCTAGAGCATGAAGAAGTATGGGAACAATTTCATCAATTGCTTGCAAGCCAGCATTCTACGGCACATAAAACAATTTCCATTTTAAGTTCATGCATTCAAACAAAAAACATTATTTGCGGGTATCTTCAAAGAAATACCTTGTACAGGGTACTGAATGCTAAACCTGCAGACTCACGAACTTCAGGTGCACTGTAAAATTAATAAACAAAAGGAGATCACCAAAAAGCTACACATTGGATTGTGCATTGACATAACCACAGCCACGATTAACAATGGCAAACCTATCACAAAGAGCAGTCCGTATTGTCGGGATGAGCTCATCCATGAAAGTCAGCAACTGACTCTTGCCAGCACTAGCCATAACTTCACTCAGACCAATGCATACACCCTGGACATAGATGAAGGTAAAAACTCAAAACAAAAGAAAAACATGACATGACTATATTTTTTATAAAACCAGGGAATAACTAAGCATTTTATTTGTACTCGACACAAAGTCCTGGCACATGAACACCTAAAAAAGTAAGCAACAACAATCAATAACGTACGCAGATGAGCATTGATTTTCTAGTTTAATTGTTTAAGTATAATCAAATTAAATTTACAAAGAACCAGGAAATGGGGGAAAGGCTCACTTGTCTTCTGCCGGGATCTGGGTCACTAAGACCCTTTGACAGTATCGGAACAATTAAAGGAAGCACTCTTTCACCAAGCTTCCGGACAAGCTCCCCTAATGATCGTCCAGCAACCTGAAAATTGAGATAAGACTATTATTTTAATTCTAAACATATGAAACACTGCAATCTACATATGAAATGCATTTTAAACGGGACCTGTCTCCTCTCTGAAGATGATGAAGCCAGAGAACTTATTAAAGTGTTCATTAAAACTGGCATTATTTCCTTCAAAGTTTTTGGAGTGTTTGCAACAATTGTTTTCCACACATGCAACGCAGCCTGAGTAGAAGAAACAGTCAGTATCAAAATACTACCACAACATGAATAGGAAAACCAACAACTTAAATGACCAAAACAATTGACACCCCTGTACCTGGCGAACAACTAGGCTGACATCAGTACGGACCATATATAATGCAGCAAGAACTTCGTTACGTTTATCTTTTCCGAGTACTTCAATAATAGCCCGTCCATGCGCTTCAGTGCTAGAACCCTCATCATCACTGCCGCCCTCCAGAAGTGCTTTTCCGGAGGTTCCAGCAACCTGAATAACAGATAAGGTGCTAATAGGTTCTTCGAGAGAAAGAAGACGAGAAGCAATGAAGAGTACAGACCTTAAACAAAAGATCGCCTAATAACTCCACGGAACTCTGTCGAATACGCCAACTATCATTGAATATACCATCCTCCACAGCAGGAAGGAGCAGTGGCAAGGATCTGAAATTAATAATAATAGAAAAAAAGCCAATGCCATTAGAGAAAAAAAAAAAAATGGTTACAACCACTTAGCTTCATAAAACTCACAGAATAAAATTTATACCATCCATGGGGCACTTTTATATTTATATAAAATACTAAAATCTCATGTTTTTGTTAGACTGCTATTTCAAAGAACAAAATTACAAGTATCCAGAATCCAAAGTTTGTGTGAACTCTTTCAATAAACTCTTCCGGGTCATCTTTCCCAGACCAAATTTCTGACATACTTGATAGACTATTTGCTAGTGAATGTTTAAATGAACAACCACCAGGTGAACCAGAAACGTATAACTCCATGTTATGTGAAAGAAGAATTCTAGCCAGTTCATAAAGTGCACACTTCAAGTGGATACAAATGAAAATATTTGGGCCAATCAACCAATTAAAACAAGAGAAAGAAACTGTAATGCTCATAAGCACATACGTAGTAGCGTAATGCTCGACTAGGACATGCCCAGCACTAAGTGCCGCATCTCGTACAGACTCATTCTCGTCAGCAAGACCTGCACGGCAAGGATCCATTAAAACCAGTCAACATAACATGACAAGGCAACCTGTGTAAGCGAAGACATCCCTTCAACTGAACAAATTGAGAGGAGAAAAAATAATTTCTAGAGGAAGCCTACCATCTAAAATAGCAGGCAAAACCTGTTGCAAATACTTCTGGAACTGAACACCTAAAGATCTTGGAAGATACTGCAATAGCACAAAATTAATTTCAGTACCTGTCACTCAGTTTGCACAAAAAAAAAAAAAGATGCACAAGCATCGGCAAAGCAATATATTTATATACTACTTGTAAAATATATACCTTGATAAGGGTTAAGTAACCATCTCGAACTGAAGCTTTTGGGTGAGAACAGTTACGAAGAATATCAGGAAGTATGTCCTCGAAATACTGTGTCCCGAGTGCAGCCAATACCTAGAGAGAAAAAAAAAATCACAATGCACAGTTACTACCGAGGAGAGCGAAGGAAAGGATCAATCACCCATCAATTAAAAATGATAATTCTAATTACAATGAGCCTAGAAGTACTGAGCGAAAAAATGAGCCAACTCGAACAATGTCTAGTTTCCTTAATAAGAGAATCTTTGTCTGAATGGAAATGATCTTCCATCAATACCATGTAAAGTTGGACAGAAATTAAAGAGATATCTAACTGGAACTATAACATCCAATCTTCTCATCGGCACTTTTACTTTCGAAGTCCTTGATATTATTCAATCTTTCATGTACTATGTACACGTCATGGACAGTATAAAATTCAGTGCTTGTCACCCATTAAATGGAACATTTATTAACATCGTTTTTTGGTTTATAACACAAATAAAAGTTAACTTTTGGTTTGTAGCATGTCACTACGAGAACATCAAACAACTTGCATAATAAAACTCCATATGCTATTACTACAGAGGATAAAGTCATGAACTAAAATGCAGTTGTAGCTGGATGGAAGATGAATCTGCACTGAGACTATAAATCAACTTCTGACGTTTTAAAATTAAATCAATAGGCTGGTTCCTACACCCAATGAGTTCAGTAATCTAGAAACAAACAAGACTACCGCATAACAGAATATGAACCAATCATTTTTGTTGCGTGTTCTTGGAGTGAAGTCTATGTTGCACTAGCATAAGAGGGTGGCATACATAGTGCGATCCAATGCTAAGTTTCTGTAGCCCAAAACACAGGAATGTATTGACAAAATATGTCATTACAATCATACATTATAAAGTAACAGCACTATGACCAACCCCATTCAATTATATGGCAACAGAAAAGATTGAGGTAGAATATGATTTCATGCTGGTCACCACAAGTTTCTAATCCCTTGCAACTTTGGTGATTCACCAGAACCACTTAAATAACCAAATTTTGCCTTATATGACTAACCCAAGAACAAACACAATACTGTTGTTCACAAGGAGTATAAAACGTTAAACAAAAATGTAAAACATATACTTATTGAAGAAGAAAAGAAAAGTACAATCACAACACTCTAACCTCACTGAGCCCTTGAGCAGCTCCAGAGCGCTCGACATTACCACCATCAGACTTCAGAGTATCCAATAACCAGGGAACTAGGTCAGGAAAGTTATCTTCTCCCATTCCTCTAATAAGAGAACCAAGGGCCTTTGCAGCAACTGATCTAACTTCAGGAATTGGATCAACCAGCACCTGTAACATAACAAATGCATAAACTATCCAATCTAAATCCTTCCCGTTGTTGGGAACTTCATTCACATATAGAAAAACATACCTTTTTAACTTCAGGGAGAAGCAAACCTATGTAAGGAATCATATCTTTTGCCTCTGTAACTAAAGAACACATGTTTCCAACTATTTGTGCAGCTTTTTTCTTCGTTTCAGCACTCCGTTCCCTAAGCCCTCTGTGGACAATGGGCACCAAGAGTGCAAGAGAAGGAGCATCTACAGAATTAATGAAGGTTGTCTGCAGAAACCAGAGCCATTAAAACCATAATCCATAACGTAAAATCCAATACACTCAACTGTGGAAAAATATAACTGATAAATTACCTGGAGAAGAATATCAAGAGAATACTTAGTATAATCATTGGGATCAGTGAGACCCATTAAAAGAGTGGGAACAAGGGCAGATATTTCTGGATTTTTTATCACACTTCCAACCTAACAGAAAGAATTAACAGTCAAAATATGTCTAATGCACATGCATTGGGTACAACTAGGATAATTGTGTTTAAATCCTATCCAATATCTTTTTATTTTATCCAAAACTTGAGGTTATTAATTTACCTGCTGGAGGGCTGTTTGCCCGGCTGACTGAACTTTGGGGTGAGTATCCGTGAGGACCTACTCATCAAGAACACAGCTCAAATTCACCAACCCATGAACATGCAATCATGCACAAAGTAAAGAAATAGTCAAATGTAAAAGCAATACTCATGTGTTACTACACAAACCTCAGTCAATTTTGGCACAATCTTAGGAAGACATTGAGACAGTTGCTGCGGGGCACAGTAAGCCATAGCACCTAGTAGCTGTACGCTGCTCTGCTTTGTTCTCCAAGCTTTATCTTCGAGGCCCTGGCATGAGAATAAGAAAGGAACCTTGGTTTGATGAATTGAAAAGCATAAGTAGTTAAACTCAGTTTGTGCTATATGTGTTTCACATGTATTATTCCTTTTCCTTCAAGAAACTGGTACTGTGAAGCACAAAATACAGAAGAAAATTTACATCCAAGAAATCCGAAATTTCTAAACATCAAATTAGTCAACTCTTACCATTACAAATGGAATGTTAGCTTTGATGCATTACTATAGTATTTTACAACTTTCTCCTACTGTCCTACACGTTCTGGACGCAAGTAATTGTTATCCCAGTATAGTCCCATTTTCCTATATTATTGAACTGAGTGTATGGGGTTAAAATTTTTAAGAGAACTATTAATACACAAAAATATACAACACTACCAAGACATGAAACCATAAATTCGTCAAAATTTGAAAAGAAGCTGCTAAAAGAGTGCCTTTAGAAACCCAGGGGCCATCAGATCCACTCATTCCTAAATTCATCATTTACCAAGTACCCGTGCAACATATAGATTAATAAGGAGTTTAAGAAAGGCATAACTACTATTGACAGAACCTCAATGTTGACCAAAAGCACCCAAATTGTAGCGTGATTATTTCAAGGTAAGAAAATCAAGGAACCAGAAACTGAAACAAACGTCATGTACCTTCCCTTGGCAAATCCACTTTATCAAAAGATCGATATAGCAGCTAAAACTTTAAGTTATTATTCTAAATTTGTAGTCCACCATCAACCAACTTCCTAAATTTACTTCAGACTACAAGAAAGAATTATCATTTTTGCTTTTTTACAAAATGATTGAAATGCAAATTTACTCCCACACTCAACAACAATTTACAACCCAGGCTCGTGAGAGCTGAGCATTAAAGCATTTATAATTAGCCAAACCAATATAATCATGTCACGTCTGTAATTTATTAATAAAGTTCTATCAGAGTATCTAAAAGTGAGACCTTTAAAAGGGATGGGAGAACAAGTTTGACTCCTTGAGCACTAAGTTGCGACATCATAGCACGAGCAGCACCCTCAGCTGCTTCTCGAACAGCAACCACTTGATCAGAGAAGGATACCAGAAGTAAGGGTAACATTTGAATCACATATCTGAAACGGAATAGAGAGGTACAGAGTTCAGAGTCTCATTCTCTAAGGAATCGTCTAAAAGCAAATATTTCATATGATAATCTCAGAACACTTACGGTTCAAATAATCTCCCCAGCTTTTCACAGAAACATTCAAATGCCAGCAAAGCTCCTTCTCGGCTTTTAGCAGAATTTCTGAAAACGAGAAATAGCATAAGCAGTTTTAACTCCACAGTTAAGCCCACTAATGCTGATTAAGTCCATCACATTAAACCAATGTATCAGAAGGGGAAATCTACCCCTCATACATAATGCAATTAAAGATAGCAGGTCAACACAGTAATTTGAGATATTTCTAGATAAAAGTAAAATTCTTCCAGTTATCACTTGTATGTTTAAGCAAATATCGATAACATTTATTCGGTCATGAATTTATTCACACCAGTTCTGCCAAAGTGCAATATTGTAGGTGCCACGGAGTACCCTTTTAGCTTCCAAGTGTCCTGGCACAGGCTCTAGAAAAGGACACTAACTGAAACTGGCTGGCTAGAATACAAGTACATCAACATTTCAAATACAAATCGGTGCCAAAAAGGAGGAAAAAAGCTAAATCAGACAACCAAAATTAAATGCAGTTCATAAAAAAATACATCATCTAACGGGTGAACTGCAGAACTCTTGAGGCTGCCCTAGGTTAAAATGGTTTTTTTTTTTGAAGTTTTCCCAGCATAGAACATCCTCTATAGCTTTAGTATTGCTAATTTATAAAACTTAGGGGGCAATTGGATATGAATCCAACCGGAGTTGTGGTTGAATTTGATTGGTTAAACTGGGTTATTTTGAATAAAGTTGATTGAGTGGGATTATGAGTTTGTAATTAAATTAACATTTAAAATATAATGATTAAAGTTGATGTGATGTAAAAGTAGAAGAGAGGTTATTAGAAGTGATAGGTAGTTGAAATTATGTAAGTGCATGAATAGTGAATTAAAGTTGATGTGATTGTGAGGATGATTGATTGGTATTATTTAATTATATTGTTAATATTGAAGAGAGTTGGATTTTGAGTTAAAAAGATATAAAACAAAATACCTCAATCGGTCAAAACCAGTTTTGTCCAAACGCGCCTTCAGAGACTATAACCAAATATAGAATTCATTGACGTTTGATCCTAGGTAGCATTTTCAGGCTAATTGCAAGAAATGGTGCACAATGAATAAAACTTGACATTAAGGTTCATGATACCTACCCTGACTTCGAGGATAATAATTATTCCATATATTTTCTTAATTTCAAATATAACACCTATTAATGTCACTTTGGATCCAATCCCTGTATAGAAAACGACATTAAATTTTCATACAGACCTGTCTGATAGACCATCTCGTAAGGCTGTCGCAATATTATACTTCTTCAGACAGGATATTCCAAAGCCTCGGACCACCCCAGCTAACCCAAATGCTGCACCACGACGCTCACCATACTTGTCACTCTTCATTAGCTGACTGAGCAGCCTCGAAATAAGAGCCACTGCTTCTTCCTGTTGTCAATACACCATTAGTTTGAGCTACATAAAAGTAACCGAAATGACAGAAAAGAATAGCCGGCTTCAGTAGTAATGATGATGATTTATGATAGGACATAGGAGTTAAATTTCCCTTGAATTAATAGCTTGAGATCAACAAATGCCTCAACGGTTCATATCAAGACCTTTTGATTAAACCAATAAGACAGATAACAATAAATGGATTGGAAAAAAGTTTTTAACTTTACATTGCACCTTTTCTACAACAAGCTACAAATATTGATTCCAGGCAGGTAGACATGATGGTTTCCCTTTTAGCAGTAATTAATATCAGGGATCAAAATTCATTTTAATTCATCATATTATGAATGCGTGAACTACTCCAACAACAAACATGAGTTACTCAAATTACCTTATTTCCTAGTTTTTAGTATAGATCCAATTATACACATTAATTTAGTACAAATGGAATTTAGTTTTTGAGTTACAAACATTATGTGCCCTATAAAGCAAAATTATAAGTAACGACACAGATATCCCATTTGACTTCAAAATTAATATATAGTTATATAAATATTTAGCTGCAAAATTACATAAACATAATTTTCATTTAACTTAATGTGCTACTCTTTATAAAAAAAAAAAACCGTGCTTTTCTACTTATCTATTTCCTAACTACGGAACTAGAAAAAGATTAAGCTTACATGCTAAGCGTGTTGAATGATATTTGGCATAAAATAATTATAGCTTTTCAGTTTCCATACAATTGTGTATATGTCCTTTATAATTGAAACAAAATGTATTTACGTCCATCTCACTTCTATTTAGTATCAGCAGAGATTTAACGGTTTTAATAGGAGAAGCAGTTGATGCAATACAACATGACAAGGACAGAAAGCAAATTTGAAACTAAAATGAATCAAGGAGAAACAAACATGGTTTTAGTACACTATTCATCTTAAAGGATTGGCCCAAGAATAAAAACTCCAAAATCCCATTCACAAGATAAAACGGAAGTGGATGATGAATCAAAAGTTAAAACTAAAATGGAGTACACTGGTTCACTACTTTGAATGGTTGCATATAATGCTTGAGTAGCTTTTGCTTTGAATATACACTCCTAGAATGAATTATCAAATATTATACTCTCAGTTATGAAAACCTCAATGTTCTATCTTATCAATAAAAAAAGGAATGGAAAAGAAAATAAAAAGAATATTTGTTTTATTATTTTCAAATATGTACCAACACCAAGATAAGCATCACCTTCCTTTCTCACAGAAACTATGTCAATAGAATCAACAACACAGTTGTAATTTGTATTTCCTTTGGAACGGTAATTAGAGTGAAAAAATAATAAATTAATACTTCAATCTCATCAATCTGGAGTAAAATTGACCAGCTGGAATAAAGAGTGAAATGTTTCACACACATTACACATTAATTCAACCCATAAGAGGGTCCAATTTAGTTTGGACAAGAAAATAGGTTAAACTTGCTCATTTAATCCATGAATCATATGTGAACAGTACAAATATTTGTGATCATTATTTCAATCAAATTGCNGAATTAATAATACAAATATGCCACATCCACAAAGAAATTGGCCGAAGACACTTGATAATTACTAAATGATGACCAAATTAAAATCAGAGAAATCAAGAATTCAAATATATTAGACTTATGTAGAATCCAATAATACCTGCTTTGACTGCATCAATGGAGAAAGGCAGGTAGAAACTGCTCGTTGCACAGCCTCAGAAGGAGTGTTTAACACCTCCAATAACTTCTCAACTACAGCATGAACCTTTGGGTCACCCTGATATTACAGAAATTGGATTCAGTAAAGAGATCCGTCTTACTTTGAGTAAGTTTTTTAAGGGTATGATAAGACCTTCGATAAATGCTTTGCAAGAGCTCCAGTGAATATAACCACACCTTCACGAACCAAATCGTATTTTTCCTCATCTGATGCCTAAGAAAGAATTTAATATGTATAAAGAGAACAGAGATCAAATTCATGCGATTCAGTTGACTAACCCTCCAAAGGGTTGTACATGATAGCAACCCAGGAATGCTGGCATGTCAATATTGAGTTAGGAATACAACATCTAAAGGCAATATTTATAAGTTCAACAATAACCAAGGGGATAAATAGATAGTGCGAAACGGGACATAGCAGGGTGCTCACTTTTTTGTTCAAGTAATTCTCAAATATGGGAAATAACAAAGACACATTATCTCTTCCATGCTTGTCAATAATCGTTATACCAGCATCAACCATTCTACCTCGAACATCAGTGTTGGGGTCAGCCTGCAGACAAACATTTATGCACCAAGTCCTCTTTCAGTCATATAGGGTACCATAAGAGTGGCGTTCATACAACAAAATTATCTAAGTCAATACCTTGAACACATCTAAATCCGCATTCACTTCTATGAAAACGTTCATAAATCCAGTATGAAATATTCAAGGAAGAACACTATAGGGGTTGCTTGGATAAAATTTTTTTATTGGATTTTTTAGTTAACCAGTGCTTAATTTTGAAAAAGTTGGTTAGGTTAGGTTTGAGTGTGATTTTGAGTTTGTATTAAAATAATATTTAAGCTAAAATGATTAAAGTTGATTTGACGTAAAAGTATGAGGGACAGAGGTGATTGGAAGTGATGGATAGTTAAAATTATGTGAGTGGATGAATAGTGAATTAAAGTTAATGTGATGTGTGAGGATGATTGAGTGGTATTATTTAATAATATTGATAATATTGAGGAGGGTTGAGTTGAGTTAAATTTGAGTAAATTTGAGTTATGATTGGACTTGTTTGAGTAAAGATTTATATCCAAGCATGCACATAATTATCTATTCAAAGTCAGACAATTTGACATTAGCATAGCTTCACCAGCAAAGAAGTATGAGTACCAGGGCTCTTGATATGAGGAATGTCATCACAACAGGAAGATCTTTGGTCCGAAGAACATCTGCCGCACACATTAAAGCCAGAGCAACCCCTTGTCTTCCAAGCCAGCCGACATCCATGTTCTCACCAGATCCAATATCACGAAGATACAGAGAAAACAAAGTGGATAGGGACTCCTGAATCATCCACCATTATAAAAAATGAAACCACGTCTAGACTTTATTATGCACGAAGAAAATTGGAAATTATGTTACTTGTATTGTATCAGGATTTTCATCCAAAGCAGCTGCAAGTGCCTCCGCGGCAGCAACCCGGACCCCATAATTAACATGTGAGAGTGCCTTAAAGAGTCCAGAGTAATCAGTTCCAAATTCATAACGGTAACAATCCCATACATCTTCAGCAACTTTTGCAACTGACTGTTCACAAAGAGGATTTACTAAGTTAGTAACCATGCAATCAGGGTCATTCAGTTTTGGAGAGGAAAAATTCTAGAAAGACAATTGTTAATGCCTCAAAATTCTTTACTTAATATATAAGTCACGAAAGGAAAGACTTCCAAGTTACTCGACATTCTATACATAAGTGACCAAAAATTATCTAAGATTTCAGTCATTTACATAGTGTCAATGTGTCAAGGCAGAACTAAGGGAGTGATTGTTTATGGATTGAACTAGTTTTTATTTAGTTTATTTTTTAACTATAGTTAATTTTGAAAAAAGTGGTATGGTTAGTTGTTAGTGGATATATTAAAATAATATTTAAATAAAATAATTAAAGTTGATTTGATGTAAAGTAGAAGAAAAATGATTGGAACTGAAAGTTAGTTAGAATTATGTGAGTGGATGAATAGTGAATTAAAGTTGATGTGATATGTAAGAATGATTGGTTGATATTATTTAATTATATTGATAATATTGAGGATAGTGGGGTTGAGTTAAAATTGAGTTTTGATTGGTTTTTTTATAATCGCCCCCTAACAAACCGATTTTGATAGCACTCAATCAAGTTATTTACAGATTCCATGAGATATAGAATCTGCTAACTCCCATGAGACATAAGAATTTTAAAATCCTTCTACAGATAGCAAAAACCACAACAAAAAACAAGAACGACATCAGCATAAAAAAAATAACAATAGATAAGTCGGTGATATTGAAGTGATACAAACACAAACCATGTAAAGTCATAATCGTAATTTAGTCAACAGATGCAGAAAATATCTACAGCAATTTACATCTGATAACCATAAAAACAAGAAGAAAATACAAATTAGTCCCTGTGCAGTCAGTAGTTAAAACAACTATTGGAACATTCAAGTGTCCCACAATTTTCACCAAGTCTAATGAATAGAAACCTAAACAAGTAAGTATCTAAGGTAAATGTATTATGGAGACAAACACTTCACCTTGTCTGTATCATGCAAGGCAAGCCATAGGCTGGTAGCAACTTCAACGTTTTGAGGTATTGAACAATTGGAGACAGCAGGAATGCACTTCACAGCATTTAAGCAAGCCATTCTTACATGAATGTCTTTGGCATAAATACCAGATAAAGCCTGACAGAGTTCAAGTGAGATAGATAAGCTCAGAAGTATCAGTAAACAGGTTATCAAAGTGAAATGAGAACAAATAATGTCTTACAGGTGCTACTTCATCTGGTCCAAGGCCAAGACACAGTTCATTCAGTGCAGGGCCAATAGCTGTATGGTAAGCAGGAACAACACCAAGGACATGATACAACACCTGTCAAGTGTCAAGTATACCATGAGTAACATAAAAAGTGAATAATTAGCCAATAACGCAGTTGCTTAGATATCTAAACCGTAACTGATAGCATTCGAATTCTTGGCAGAGGCAAAATAGGATCCATATGCAAGAACAGTATTTTAACAAGTGAATAATTAGCCAATAACGCTGTTGCTTAGATATCTAAACCGTAACTGATAGCATTCGAATTCTTGGCAGAGGCAAAATAGGATCCATATGCAAGAACAGTATTTTGAGAACATCATCATGAAGGCCAGTCTTCTTGGGAGACAGCAATACCCTCTCGATCACCTGCGGAAAAAATTTACAGGCTGCAGCAACTAGTAGAAGAATCAAACCAAAGAGTGAAACAGAACTAGGGAACAACAAGTTTACCGGAAAAACAAATGTAAATGAATCAACTGGAAGAGGTCCAGATTTGCAGGAAATGGTTAAGCCACTGACTAAACGTTCAAAAAGACCCAATGATGGCTCTCCACTGTCCTCCCCATCAACAATAGATGGAAATAACCCCCACAAGACGCTAGATTCTTCCGTGACAATCAGTCGTAAGGCAGTTGCAATCTCAATAGACCAATTGCAGAGGGGATCGACAGTACACTTCGAAAGTTTCACCAGAGTCTCAAAGGCAGCATCACCAACAATTGGGGACCGCAGTAGAGGATTGACGAACTTAACCTAAAAAATAGATAAAATTAAGATAAATATAAGCCCATTATGCAGTTCATAGACATACGGTTAGAAGCTATGGTAATAAGTGAAGGCTGTGAAACCAGACTTTTCCATAGCCAATCTGCCAACAAGGGAAATTCCAGATATAAGATTCATGTAGCATGAACAACTTGGCCCTAAGATCCATTTTACTAGCATGACCTCATTGTACATGGATTAATAAGAGCTGTACATTTCAACATCATATATCTAGCACATTACTAGAACCAAATAAGATCACATAGAAAATGGAATGAACAGAAGTGTACAAGAATGAAGACTGACTGAAGAAGGAAGCTGGCTGTGTGTGAATATGGGACTAGCTATCGCCATTTCGCCCAAAGCTTTGAGCATCAGAGAAAGGTTCTGCTGAATTGACATGATCTTTTCACGAATGCAACTCTCTTCTTTGAGCTGCAACTCACGAGCTTCTTCTTTTGCTGTTTTTGCCTTATCTAGAGTAATTATAAAAAGAGAGATATATGAGCTAAAGAAGGATGTGGCATAAGTCCCACACTATTTAGATGGAGTCCACTAACCGCCAGCTTTCTTCACTGATTTTGCAGCATCTTTTTTCGCAGCAACAGTAACCTCTCTATTCGGCACATCCCTCCTTGTAGAATGATTTGAGCTAACCTTATCCTGTACCCATGTGTCTATGTCAGAAACCACAAGATAAACAAGCCTATGCTTCTAGATGAAATGTTCACATGTTACTACCGAGCTGTCATCATTATCGTAAAGCCTGAAACGTCCTTTCGCTTGCCTCACATTTTTGGAGGCAACAGACTCCGCAATATAAACACCTTGCTCCGTAGAAAGCATTCCCTCAGGAGTACGAAAAATCTGAAATCAGAATCAGCCACGAGCAAATAAGTCATTCCTTATTAAAAATCGAGCATATATATTAAGTCACCAGCAATCGCAAATCAACATCAGAATCAAGAAAATATATCAATGAAAGTATCCCCCAGTCAAAAACAAGCGATGTGGGGATACAAAGGCACGTGGTGAAGGACCAACATAAAGAAATTGTAAATCCAAGAAAAATAATGAAGGGAGTTTCTATAACACGCATAAAAGCGTTCATCGTCAAAAGACCTAACAAGTCATCAAACAAGACACTTATATTAACTTTCAATATCATCTCGTATATATCAGTACATGATATAATGAGCAGTATATGATGATAGTAATGGGGAAAAAAAGAAAAAGTGAAGAAAAGGTGCATACAAGACTTCAAGAAGATTGTCATGCACGGGAGAAAAAGTTTATCATGCGAATAGCCAAATCACACTCCGTCGTCGTTGGAGTATAGGTGTGGAGTGTGCACTTACAATCATGACAGAACTAACCTAAGAATGTTTACAACTGTATCATCTTAGTGAAACGCTTTGGTGGAACCCTACTGGTGGACAAGACACGCAGCAGACAGAATTCTGAATACTAAAAGCAATACATTTTTTCTCAGAAACATTAATAAAGTCATTCGCTCATCGAGACATGAATAATTGAGAAATGGCAGCCCAATAAATTGGTCTGAATGTCAAATAAGAAAACAAAGAATACAACTGACTGACACTAAAATGATAAATGAAGATTGATTGTATAGGGAAACAGTGACACATAATAAAGATCACAAAATAATAATAACCATGCTAAAGAAGTAAATAACTAGAGTCTTTCTGCGCAATCAAGAACAAAATCATATGCACAAGATAACCTGAATGTCAATTTCTGAGAGAGTGTCATGTGCAATACGATCTGGGAGACTAATGAAGTGCTGCAAAAGTGAATTCATAGTAAGAGACATGTAAACCAATTAAACATGTTCACAAAATGACTAGCAGAAGAGAATGGGAGGATGGGAGAAAAGCTGATCCAGACCTTTTCAAATTGCGCATAAATACCTCCCGGTACAATAGACATCAGTGTTGACAAGGTATTTATAGCTGCTCCTTGCTCAAAACAGTTAGAACTCGTCAATCCGTTTGAACCAAATAAAACCTTCAAGACCACAACAAATGTAAAACGGAAATAATTAATAACTCAAAATGCAAAAGGTTCAAGTGCATGTTTTCACTCATCAAAAAGTTCAGGTCAGGTTGGTTTCAACCAAAAATCAAAATCAACATAGCTTCACTGAATCATTAAATCTTACAAATCAACATATAGTATATACTGAGGAGCAGTCTAAATGGTAAACCAACAAAGTATACTTCCTACCATTTATGTTTAAGACGGTCCCAGTATCACTACAATCATGTTTTAACCACTGATAATCTAAAGTTCTCGGAAAAACATTCAAAATCTTAAACATATATTACTGAATCAATTCCCTCA